AATGCCCGGCGACTGCATTATAAATTATTCAATTTACTTAATTCCAAATCAATTCTTATAAATTGAAATGGGCTTTGGCAGCGGTGGGGGGGATGAAAAAGCCATCATCCTGCCATCAGCATCGTTTCATCATCATAACAATCAAAGGGCCATGTGCGTGAGTGTATTATACAATAAACATCATCATTAAATATAATTGCATGTAACAGTTACTCAGTTTCATTTTTGCTGGAAATTCCAGAGCTTTTCCATCCATTGTGGTTGTGGTGGGTGCTGGGGTGGTTGGGTGGTGTTTCTGTGTCTGTCTGGTTATGGCTGATCGAATGCTGAAAACCGCATTTGTTATGCAAACGCTCATTAAAATGTTTGCCGCGTTACGCATACGCATTGTTGGCCGAAAATGAGAAATGTTGAACAGACACAGAAAAAGTATTCCTGAATTTTTTAAAAATAAATTTGAATTGAAAGAAAGATTATATTGAATTTTTTGTAACAAGCTTAATAAAACCTTTCTAAAAAAAATGTAATATGCTTAATACATAGGTACATATAAGAAAAATGTATTATTTGTTCCATTCTTAGCCGAAATTAATTACATTTTACATTTAATAATTACTTAATTTATTTAAATACAATTTCTTTGAGTGCCTGCAGTTTTCCTGTGAAACCCAATTCGATTTCCTTCATTTTTCGATACCCTCACTTTTTCCACTTCACAGCATGAACAGTATTCGTTTCAACTTTTCCACCACGCTAAAGAAGACATTTCCCCCTGCTGCTCTGCACTTTCCACTTCAATTGCAGCAAGGCCAAGAAGGGCTGAGTTGTTGTGCACTGACAGTCTGAATATTTCAGGAATTTGTTAATTGTTTAGCAGAGGAGCAGCGGAAAATAACAAGGCAATTCTTTTGCAACCCTTACGTCCATTTAATAATTCAAAAATAATCGCCTGTGTGCCCGCGCGTGTATGTGCTTATATTTTATTTTTAAAAAACAATTTTCCCAACAAGGACAATGCGAATGTCGGCCAAGTTTGTCCGCGGTCCCGAGTCCAGGGTCCAGATCTTGGTCCAGTTGCCTAGGACAACTCAGCATGTGGCTCAAAGTGCCCGAAAAAAAAAGAAGGAAACTCGAGCCGAAGCACTAGATGAAGCATAAGCAACACAACGCGGAAAAACTCACAAAAAAGGAAACACAGAAAAATAATAAAAAAAAATTGGACAATAAAATACAACAATTTATGGCGTAGAGCAATCCTTTTTGGTGGCACTCCGAGGGCCAGGGCCATCTAAGGGGTGCCACCAAAAGTCGGGAATGAGAATGGACCGGATAAGGCGGCAACATTGTTTGCGGTGAGGTGCACGGCAAAAAATATTTTAATGGAGGAGTATCTTAAGTTATGAAAAGTAACTATTTTTAAAGAAATATTATTTTAGTTAATTAACTATTCATTTTCGAGATCTTTAGGTAAAAATTTGAGTGAAAATACTTTATTATATTTATTTTTAAAATAGAATTTTTGCTCTCCATATTTTATTTTTCTGTGTTTTGGGTGGCTCAATGGTGTGGTGTTGAGTTGGATTGAGTGGTGGGTGGGTTTCTGGGCCAGCAAATCGTCATTGGAAACTAAACGAAAATGTTTAGTATGATTTTTTTATTTCACTTTTCGTTTTTTCCTTCTTACCCGCACACACGCATACTTTTTATATTTATTTATTATTGCTGAGGTTTCGCATTCCCCCTTTCCTTAGCCCATATTTTCGGTTCTTTCCAGACTGGCCAGTCCAGATTTATTGTAAGAGGATTTTCGAGTGGAAATATAATGCGTAGTATTTAAGAACACCAAGTACAAAATGAAAATAATTCAAATGTGAATGAAAAATGATGAAATCTTATAGAAAAATATATAATTGGACCTAATTTTACAGCCTTTGTTGTCGACACTAACATTAAATTAATTAGCTAATAACTATCTGCATATATAAATTACTAAAGACGCTAATTTAACACAAAAAATATTATTTTATTAATGTTTAGAAGCCAAGCCAACAAATGCTTATAAATAAAGTGAAAATTATAACACAACATGTAAAATAAACATAGTAAGTTTATAAATATAGTATTCATAAGTTCCTCATTATATTACTCATTTTTATAAAACTGAAATGATTTAATTAAAAAAAATTTTTAATCACACAGTTAAAAACCAAGTATTTCCTATAATATTTTATCCACAACCCCCACATATTTGGCTTTCCCTTCGCCTCACTTCGGTTGGACTTTCCACGCTCGATTTTTATTACTTTTATTAGTTTCCACTGGTAAGTGATGGCTGTTGGCGCTGCCAGTGGTAGGGCTGCTGGTAACAAATGTTTAACAAAAGTTGTTGCCACTGCCAGTTTCATTTCAGCTGCCAGCGAGATGATTTAAAGGAGATGTGCGTTGCCAGCCCCCGGCAATCGGAACCGCTGCTGCCAAGAACGAATCTACACACCCAAAAACCCAAACTTTATTTCATTTAATTGAAATTTTATGTAAAACATACATTTCGTTTCGTGTCGTTTGATGCATAGTTTTTTAACGCTCGCAGCTGAAATAAAACAAATGTGAAATATTTGCAAGTTTTACGAGCATTGAGTTATGTGGTTTGCGGCGAGTGGGATTCCAAATGCTTGACCTTCGCCCCAGATAAATTCCATGATTTTTCACAGTTTGAACTCTGTTTTGGCCACCAAAGCGCAAATAAATTACACAGGAGTTTTATCTGGCCCGGCTTAGGGTGTATAAAATGCGCTGATATAAACAAACTGGAACGAAATGGCATATCCTTTTATTTTTACGTTCGAATTGACAAGCCAGTACCGACGGCATCAGACAGATGAACGGATACGGGAAGGATGTGCCGGGCCAAGTGCTGGCTGAATGTGTGTGTTCCGAGTGCTATCACCACAATAAGGATAAAGCAAAAAACAATGGCAAGCGGAGCTGGAAGTGTTTGATGGTTGTTGAAGAGCTTCGCTGACACCAACTGATTTCCTTGAGAGTTTCGTGGGTGTTGTGGGGAAAACTACACTGAAGAGCGATGAAAACTGGGTGTCAAAGAATAAACTTTTTAAGGAACTTTGGCTGTTAAATGCTACCTTTTTAAAATAAATGTCTGATCTTACCTTGTTTAAAAACACTTCACCACAAAAACACTGTTTTAAATATTCTTATAATTTTTTAAATTTTATTTATTTTTATATTTCTTTTGGTATTTTTCTGCTGGCCATTTACGACATCTTCCAATGTACACATATGAATTATAATTATATTATAATTATTATAATTATTTTCTGCTGGTTTTCGGTTATTTCCATTTCACAACTTGACATACTTTTCATACAATTATTACGACTATTCGATCAGTATTCATACAAATATTTACAGGGTGTTCACTGGCCACATGTTCAGCGGGGCTTTAAGAAATTTTCCTATAGGTTTACAGTTAGATTTACCATTTTATTATATGCTATTTGTAATCGATAAACGTTAGTTGTGTGTGTCTTCAATTTCCCTCAGCAGTAAAAATGTTTGAATTCGTTTGTAACTTTCTTTTGTTCGGTTTTTTTCTTGTGTTATTTTAAACATTAAATTATCGTAGTAATATATGCAAGTTGTAGTAATATATATTTGTAATTTAATTTAATTTTTGATCACATGTGTTATTTCTTTTGTTTTTTATTCCGACCTTCACCTAGTTAAACGTTTAATATTTGTGTTGGTTGTTTTTTTTCGTAGTTTTTCAACTTTTTTTAAACAAAAAGTCCAAAGTTGAGCTGCTGTAATTTGTCCCTTCTGCTTATGCAAATTTGATGACTAAATTAAAATCAAATATTTAAATACGCATATCTATACATGAGTGTGTGTGTGATATAGGTGAGTATGCATAGGTATATGAGTTCTTGAACAATCGCCCTTAAATTAGCTCTCATTTTCTATACAATTGTTATTTAATGGTATTTCTCGTTTAATTCATTTGTTCGTGAACTTATTTGCAATTTTGGCGGGTTGAATTTTTTATGGATCTATTAATTATAAAATGCTTTACCATTTCGCCTCTTTACATTCGCTTGAATATTGATTAAAAGATTGCTATTTATTAAGCTTTACAAATGATGCAAAAATTGTGGTTACAACTGCATTCATTTTTTCGTGCGCTCGTTTTGTATTAAACCTTGGCCAATTAAATGTTTAATGTTAATTAACTAATTAAATGGGAATTTCATTTAGGTTAATAACAAAATTAAAAACACTTTAAACGCATAATGTTTTATAATTAAATCGTTTCATTGCGTGCGCTGGGCTAATGAGGCCAGATTAATGAACTTTTGTCGCCATTTCCGATACGAATCGGCCCAGCAAATGTCGCAAATAAGGATTCCACACTTTCATTAACTATTAGCTATATTCTTTGTAAACTTTAATAACTTTTTCATAGAAAAAATACGCTGTGAAAAATTAGATTTTCCTTGGTTACCAACATTTAGCTTGACTTTTGGGGATTAGTCTCGGTTTTTTTCACGCTGCTCTTGGTTTATTAATTTGAGGCTAACTGTGCTTTACTTTAGCTATTATAGGGTTTACTTTTTCTTGCTTTTTCGTGCTATGGATTTATATATATTTTTTGTTCTCCTTTTTTTACGCTTGTCCTCTTTTAGCCTGACTTAGAGCTAGAGCTAGAGATAAAAATAAACATGGCAATGATATTTACACAATGTTGGCTAGTTTATGGATGAAGAGGAAACGGGGTAGGAGAGTTCAGGGGGGTGGTAACGGAGGTGTGTGTGTGTGTGGGTGGGCGGCGCCTCCTCTTGCCACTTTGTATTTGTTTATGGGCGATGCCAGCTGCGCACAAAGTTGTTGGCACTGGGAAAATTAATTTTTGAAAGTCGAAAAATTTACAAATTTTATTTTCTAAATTTTTATATTTCAAAGGAAATATTACGAATTTTTCAGAATATTATTCATACTCTTATAGAGTTAAATTTGATCTTTATTATTAATATTTTCTTGAATAAATTTTTGCGGTGCAACAACAGCTGGCCAGCTGCTCGACTTTTAGCGATTGAAAAAAAGTCGGCATTTTTTTCCCTGTGCCAATATATGTGTGTCTCTGTGTATGTGTGTTTGCAACACACACACACATACGCACTGGCAAACAATACACAGCAACAGCAACAATACACAAATAACAACAACCAGAGCAGCAGAGAGGAGGAAAAACTTTGTCAATTAACCTAAAACAAGTTTCACTTTACAACACGTACGCTTGACATAATTTTTTCGCATTTTCGCCACGGGAGATGCCACGGGTGAAACAGTATATGGATATATGTGCATATGGATGCGAGATGGGTTGGGAATGAACTTTACAAATGGAGAAATTATCACGTTCTTGGTCCTTGATAACGACAATAGGATCTGCCCATAATGTCTTCGGCTGGAATTGACTGATCAATGGGTGCCACTCGCAGAAGTTCCATCTGATCGCGCACCTGCAAATAAATCAGAGCACATTTCATTTGGTTAAAACACCATTAGCAAATTATTTAGGCATGTGTGGGGGTGTGGGTGTGGGGTGCCTCTGGGGGTGTGTCAACAGCTGCATTTGATTGATGAAAATTGATTGCATAACGCCGAACGCCAAGCTGGCACAACTTACAAAAGTTATTTAGCGTAATTGCCAAAGTTTTGTTTGAATTTTCAAATGCAGAAATGATTTCTTGGAACTTCTCTCGCGTACTCTTCATATGGCATTAATATTGTTCATAAGTTTTAGCCCGAAATTGGACTTGGACTTTAGTTTTGGTAAATAACAAAGAAGGGCTATTAGAGACCAAGTCATAATAATGCTGAATTTATAAGATTTTATGCTACGATAAACTTGTTCCATGACTTTCTATTAAAATGTAAATTCTTTAAAAATATGGCATAGACTCCCTATATTCAGACATTTTCAAAAATTGGTATTGATGACTTTAAGAGCTTGTCAGGCTTTCAGTAGCAAACAGTATAAGGAAACCTCTTCCGCATGTCTGAGTCTCTTTGCAGCCACAGGAACCTTAAATCTGAATGCCAAAACAGAGACCTGCCATTCCTGGCAAAAGTTGAAGCACATTTAATGCCGCCACAACGGAAAATATTCAAAGGCAGGGGGCACAGAAAAAAAAACCAAAACAACATAAAATGAGAGAAAATGTTTTGTTTTTAACACCAAACACCTTTTGAGCGGGGGCGACGAGGGACCCAGGCTTTGGAGGGGCCTTTGGTGAGGCCTAGGTCGGCCGGTCCCATTTCCTGGGTTTTGTTTGCCACACAACAATCGAATTTACGACTTTTTTATGAGGCTTTATGTGCGCCCTGCCACACAAACAACAATAAAACGTCAGCTTTCACTCAGTCATTGCACTTTGTGTGCATGACCCACTATGAGAACTTTGAGCCTTTTGCCTTTTGGCTAGACTCTTCCGGCCTTTGAGCAGCGTTTTCCACCCACCCGCCAGTGAAAATGGAAAGCCCAGTTCACAGTTACAGTATAAATGAAGAGTTTGGAGCGGAAAATGAAACCCCTTTCCTCTGTCACGCATTTTCCTACAAGGCAACCCCATGCCAAATCAATTGTAAGAAGGTCAGCGGAAACACTTTTTGAAAATGCATACACTAAGAAAAAAAGAAGGTGTCACATGAGGCTCTTAAGATTCTTTATGCTAAGTTTTAATTCAATTAAATTATTTTTTGTTTGACTAAAATCCTATTTATAAAAACAGAAACTTATAAATTACTCAATATTTCTTTCTATATTAAATGTATCTACTTTATTTCCCAGTGCACACAAGGCTGGGAAAAAAGATATTTAAATGAATTTGTCTCGCACAAATTGCTGCCATTTGCCGGGGACATTTCACATCCCATCTCACGCGGCTCACAAAGCCTCCGTCGCCGCCACTTGGGCTATGTGTCGTGCCAAATGCCGTTCTTCGCTCTCGCATTAGATATAAAAGGCTAAAATAAAAGATACATTTACACAAACACAAGCGGTGCGGGGTTTGGGGTAAAGGAGTCCAAAATCCTTGGCTTTTCCTTGCCCCCCAGCCGAGGCTGCCTTTGTGTAGATAAAAACTGGCGTCGGGAAAATTATCATGTTCATGGGCTATGGCTATGGGAGCAGATCCACTGGCCACCTCCCACGCCCACAAATTTGCGGGCATCGCTGTTGTCTTTAATGTCCTTGGGAATGTGTTCTCGAAAGCGGTTACGCCTGCTAAATCTGATCGGACGGAGCAAGACTTCTTTTGGGGCTTGGGATATGCACTTAGTTTTGAACCGTTTTAAAATTTATAGGGGTCATAAATTTACCCAGAGCTCCCCTATGCATGTGATGTATAAAAATCATTTAAAACTGATAAAAATCGAAAGCAAATAGTGTCAAGACTCTGGACAAAAGAAACATAAAAAAAGCACAAATTTAAAATTTTTTAGATATCATTAAATAGATAAAACACATTTAGAGTAGTGATTTATGGATTGATGAAGTCATGCAGACGCGGAATTTGGATTATTGATGGAAATTTATAGTTTAAGTAGTAATCAGTCTCTACTAAAAATGTTTAATAATAATTTAAAAATATATTTTTTAATTCAAAATTGTTTAGAACCCTTTTCTCGGGTTATAAAATCTTTAGAAATTCATGGAAACGTTTTTAGGAACAACACCACTCTGTATTTTGACCGAGTGCGTGTCCAGTTCGAAAGGGTATTATGTATGAGCTGGTTTTGTGCTGGTATATGTGTGTGTGCTCTGTGCGTTTGTGCGAGATGGCAATCATTAAAATGGCCTTTTGCCTAATTTCTATGACTTGCTTAATTATCACAGCCCTGACCGGAGCAGCGACCAGTCCCCAGGGTACACACAACCCAAAATCCCGAGCACAAAACAGCATTAAGCTTCTAATAATTGAACATTTGACCCGCTTTTCGTTATTATTTAATTGCATTACGAGCCCGGCCCTGGCGACGTCCATAAGTAGGCTATAACGTATTTTATTTCGCCGGTTTGAGAACTGAAATGGGTGGGATTTTGGGTTCGGTTCAATGAACTGGGGACTTGGCCTGATGCAAAACAAAAGCAAATGTCATTGGGATAAGTATATATGGTTGGTTCTGGCTTAATTTCCAGTTCTCTGTTCGCTCTGGGCTTTTGGCCAACAGGATAAAAGGCGTTGGGTAGCATTTTTAATTACTTTTTACCGCACACAGCAGCAAAAAATAAAGGGGAGCAAAATACAAAAGTACAGAAACAAACAGAAACGTATTAAAATACAATTCTTAATGAGCATTATGGCCATGTAATAAACAGCAGTAAAGATATATATACATTTCTATATATGGCTGTCTGCTGAGTGCAAAGCGCAATAAAAGCTCGGCGATTTTAATCAGTCGTCCTGCAAAGTAGGCAATACTTTTGTAGCCTTCTCCTTTTATGTAGTTACCATTCCCATTTCCATTCCCATAGCTCTGATGGGGTAAGTGCGCCTGTAATCGCGGACATTAAGTATTTCTACGTATTTTATATGCACCCCGAACTAAAACTAATTACAATGTAGAAAGTCCGGGCGCAAGCTCGAGAATATGATTAAAGTTTGCCGGGCTCGTCGTCGTCGTCTCTCAGTCAGCGAGAGACAAGAGCTAAATTAAAAAATGCTGCGGCATCTCTTTCTCAACTTGGCCAGAAAGGGCGGTCAGATAGGGGGGGTGAGCGCTGGGTGTGGCCAAAGTGGGCTGTAGTTGGAGGAGGTTTTTATAATCAGCAAAAGCAATGAAATCTACGACCACGGACAGCGTTCAAGGGGGTCGTAAGATTTATTTTTGTTATTATATCTTTAAATTGGTTCAGCGATAGAAGGAAATTACGTTGCTCGGAATAATATTAAACTATTTTAATTTAGAGAACTAATCTTGTTTTAAATGGGTTTGAGGTACTACCTTACTGAGGTGAAAATTAAAGAAGTATAAATATTTATAAAATATTTTAAAGTACGATATAGTTGGGAATAAAACTAAAATATATCTTATCATCCCTCTATTAGTAACCTTTAATGCTCCTTTTTTGCCAGATTCTTATTTAATTTGAAGGATAATTTAATTTGCCAACCTAAAGGGGAAACATCTCCCGCCATCCATTGATGGGCCTGTTGGAGTGCTGCATCGTTTAGTCAGCTATCTATTCAAGCATCGCAACATCCCCTACGAGTAACCAGCTATTGGACTGAAAAACAAACCCACTTGCTAGCCTTTGAATGGTACTAGCCTCCGCTCGAGTGCCGTTCAATGCCGAGGAGTAACTTCCTCCAAGAGGGGCTCTGCCTCTGGCCGTGGCGTATCCCGTATTGATCCAAATTGAATGCTGCTTGAGCTTGGAGTGCCCAGACATAGACGGCAGCCGAACACTACTATCCCCGCTCTAAATTCTGTCTGTATCCAATCCGAGAGCTGGGACGGCAAACAAGCTGACCGCATGCTGCAAACAAACTGCTAAACTAGAGGAGGAACTGGAGCTTGAGCTGGCGCTGGAGCTGTTGCTTCAGTTGCTGCTGCTGGTCAGGCTCGTGTATAAATATCGGAATAAGCATTTGAAAATCCTTTTAAAATTATTTCACAACTTGCGTCTTTTCGACGTCAAGCCAATGTCCTGCCAGTGGTCCTGCCTTGCCTGTTCTCCCACTTCTACTCCCATTTTTGCCATTTTCCTCCTCTGGCTTCCACTCCAAGTATGTGCAAATTCCATTGCAAAGCCACATTATTCCTTTTATCCTTGCGAAAGGAATTTTCCAACTGCAATAACAACCGGGACCGAGTGAGCGGAGACCAAAGCAATGTCCTTCTTTTTCAACTTCTTTGTTTGTTTGCTAAGAAATGTGTGTTCAGTTCCCGGCACTGGCTTCGTCTTTAAGTCGGTCAGGTACGCGCCTAACACCAAGAAAAAATACAGACTAATAAGGTAAGGACTAAATATTTAATACCCTTGAAAGTCGCAGGTCTTAGAGGAAGCTTTAGGGAGTTAAAATAAATATTTGAAGTGACACAAGGAGTGTTTAGAAACCTAAAATTTTTAAAGAAATTACTTAATAATAAAGAAATGCACTTTTTAGCTTAAAAATATACTTATGTTATATCTCTGTAGACTTCAGATTTTAACTGGGATTATTTTACCCTCTGCTGTGTTTTTCGTTTCTAGCAAAAAGTTTCAAATTCGAACTGGTAAGGCAATACCCGTTGCGAGAGCACCTAAGCATACTTCAGGGGCAGAACATTGAACAATAGAGAAATGCCAGAGAAAAGTGAGCAATTTCTGTGTGTTTTTTGCCGTGGACTCACCGCTTCGACTTCCTTGAATACACGTATTAGATTCTTGCCAGCCAACTTGGCAATATCCTCCTCTGACCATTTATCAGACTCGAGCAGGGCAGCAAAAAGATGCGGATATTTGGACACATCCTCCAGTCCTTTGGGCACTCTTAAGTGGAGAAGCGGCAAAGAGAGAGAGAGGGAGGAAGGCGAGAACGAAAAAGGACGAAAGAGAGACCATAATTTGCCAAATGAAATGAAATGTAATTGAAGCTGCATGCGGCGTGCGGAGTGCACAGTCGAAGGTCCTTTGGCCCGTACTTACAAGTTGACTCCGTCGTAGCCAGCTCCGATGCCCACATGATCGATGCCGGCCACCTCCCTTATGTGGTTGATATGCGCTGCGGGGTGGACGTGGGCCAAAAAGCACAAGTTTAAAGATTAATCACTCAGAGAGCCCTGCACCCGGCGCACCCAGTGAACCCTGAACCTACCCACAACATCGTGCAGTGTCGCCTGTCCCGAGCAGCTGACGAAATGCGGATAAAAGGCCACCATAACCAGACCGCCGTTTATTGCCTGCAATGGATGTGGCCAGAGGTGTAGCGGGGGATTTGGATTAATGCTACCGCTGGATTAATGCGACCATAATGGACTTCTACTCACAATGCGCTGCAGGACATGATCGGGAACGTTCCTGGAGCTGTTGCAGATGGCGTGCGCCGAGGAGTGCGAGAAGATGAGCGGCGCCCGCGACGCCGCCAAAGCGTCCAGCATCGTGGGCACCGACACGTGCGACAGATCAACAATCATGCCCAGCCGGTTCATCTCCTTGACCACCAGCTGCCCGAGTCGTTGTGGATTTATTAGAGACATTATCCTTGTATGTCAAAGGAGAAACGGCACACTTACCTTGCCGAACTGCGAGAGCCCGCCTATGTGCGGGTACTTCCCCGGTTCGTCAACTTTGCAGCAGTCCGCCCTTTAATAGGAAAATTTAATAATATATTTCTGAAAGGAAATCTCATCTTTTAGCCCCTTACCAAGGTGTATTGCAGGTGTGTGTGAGAGTCAAGTATCTGGCGCCCAGCTGATAGAACATCCTCAGGACACTCAGACTGGTGCCGATGGCATGACCGCCCTCCACCCCAATCAGGCTGGCGATCTTGCCCGTCCGGTGAGTCTGCTCGATGCCCGAGGCGGTGGTAATCAGGGCCATGTGATGCGGATACAGCTGAACTAGTCGCCGGATCAGATCGATCTGCTCCAGCGTCAGCTGTACAGCGTCCAGATGCTGGGACGAGCAGGGGGCATAGGCCGACCAGAACTGGGCGGACACCATGCCCTCCTTCAAACGACGCAGATCCGTGTGGCTCCAGGCACTCGAGGACCAGGGAGCCAGCTCCCGCAGATCCCCGCCAAAGTGAAAGTCTTTCAGCTGGTTCTTCAGGAACTTGCGTATATTCCACGGCAAATCGTTGTGTCCGTCGATCAGCGGCACTTCCTTGAGCACATTTCGCACTCGCTGCATCCGGTAGTCGAAGTCGTCGGCGGTCTTTGAGCCACCGCCGGACGCACCCGAGCCGCCCGTTGCCGCTCCGGCCGAGCATCGCAGGATGGGCAGGACGAGCGGAAAGTAGACGAAGGTCAAACAGTTGAGGCCACAAAGCACGAAGCCCTTCGGCAGCTTCCGCGATTTCATTGCCACCGAGTGGCGCGGAGCTCTAGTGGAAGAGCACACAGCCGGCAGCACTCACATTGAATATGTTCCGTCTTCTAGCTGGAAAAGTAATAGAGACAGGAGATGGAGTTACATTTCAAGGGGAAATTAATTGATTTATTTTTAATCTCTAGATTAAATTTCGAATTTAATGTACTCAAGGAAATTAAAACAACCTTAAGCCCAAACTTTTGTGTTTGTTTTAAGATGTCGTTGATTCCCAACGTGTTCTGGTTCAACGGAGGGGGCGGTGACTTGGCCCATTGCATGTGCGGGTGGCGTGATTGAGCTATTGAAAGTTGTTGGCAAACAAATGTCATAAATATAACGCCCACGGCGGTGCTACCAAATAACCCCAGTCCCAGTCCCTGTCCCAGCCACCAGCTCAAAACCCCAAACCAAATCTAAGCCCCAAAAGCCAATGGCGTAGACCGAACACGCCCACTTTTTTCCCGACTTTTCCACCCCACAAAGATAAATAAAACTTTTCATATTTATTTCAGAGCCCAACTTCAAATCGAAATCGCGCACAAAATGCATAAAATGCACAACAAAAATGCAAAATTATTTATAGCAAAGTGTCCTCTCCATTTATTTTTTTTAGTCACCGAAACCCAAAAAAGAAATCGCAGAAAATTTAAATAGTTTCCCCTGCTGTACGGTAAAAAAGTTCTGCGTGGAAAATACGTTATCCATACGATTTTATTTTGGTAGTTGGTATACTAAAGTTGTTTTTATATTCGCATACGACATAAAGTTCGGCCTGAGCCTGGCAGGTGGCAGAAAGCTAAGAGAGGGGGAGCAAAGTTCTAAATATTTCCCCAAGAAATTGAAGCCCTATTTGCGTTGCCCCAAAAGGGGGCCAAGTACGCAAATATTTATATATTCTTTGTCCCAGAAAGTGAAATTAAAGTTTTAGCCCAAAACAGGGAAAGTGAGCTCAACAACTTTAATAGTTTTTAACGGCAAAGTCGGCCACAAAGTCGAGCATCGTAATGGCCAAAATGAAATGGTAAACTGAGCAAATAAAAATGCAAAGAAATTCGGTTTGGTTCTAAGGGAATGCCATGGATTTATTGCTGTAGATCGAAGCTTTACGAATGAATTCTACGATTTCATTTATTTGATTTAAAAATAACAAGGAGTGACTATACGAAATCAGCTTTACACACTGAATAAACCAAATAATGTATATTTACCAAGATTATGTTAACACTTGTTCTTATTTATATTTCTACATTTTTATGCGTGAGTTTCTTTTTTCATTTTCATATGTTAACTGTTGGTGTGCACTCGGCAGGTCACAAAGAAATAAAAGTTAAATCTAGAATCCAGAATCCAGAATCCAGAGCGAGGAGCAAGTGGAGTTCGCATGTTGATTTTCATGCTCTGATGCTTGCGAACAAAATGAAAACATTCCACTATACAGAACTTGGGCGATATCTTATCTGCTCTGTTTGGTCTCCTTCTGACTGTGTTACAGCTTCCACACAGGAAGAAATTTGTATCAGCATTAAGATATCAAAAATATAAAGACTTGAACTTGATCTGAGAAACCTTCTAAGTCAAGACAAGTGTAGGTACTCTATAAGTATCGTAGCATTTACTCAGAATACAATTTAATTTCTTAAAAACCTTTCAAAGTATTCCCATTCCACTTTTCTCTGTACCTTTCTTCCCATTCTGCTTCTGGTTATAGATTTTTGGTCCAAACGAATTTTCTGCTTCCCCATTTTCTTCTCTTTTTTCTTTGCAATACTGTCCCCAATTTCATTGTGTTGTTTGGTACAATCCTTAAGCTATCTGGCCAAAGGAAAATTATGCAAAAATCAACAGAGGCAGCGATGAGCAGGAAATGACAACATTGACAAGGGCAACGCGCCACGAATATTTTGCGACATGCAAAACGTGACTCAAACGCAACGCACGAATTATTAATACAACAACCAAGGCGGAGCGAGCGGTCCAAATTAGACCCAGTTGGGTTAACATGGCGGTAAAGGGGAAAGGACGACGGCAAGGACGACAAACAAAAGCCGGGTCTGTGAAATCGAAAACGTTTGGCGCTTCATTAAACATTGATGCCTCAAAACAAGCGGCATGCAAACCGAAATTAAGAGCCACAACATGGTATATTTAATTAAGGGGGGATATACATGTAAGCGGTCAAAATTTTGCCATTTTTCGTGAATTTTTTTTATAAGAAATAGTCAAGCAATCGTCGAGAAACTTTGGATATAGTTAAAAGTAGAATCAGAGATGATAAAAAAAATATAGTTATAAACAATATTTTACAAAATGGCGGATTTATGGAACATATGCCGTAGCGCCTCGAGCTTTGAGTTGCCGTGCTATGGACACGATAGAGCTCGTAATTCCTGTCCAAAATCCGTAAACTAAATTTGTTTGTATTCATTACACCTGTATCTTCTATTTGAACCTAAAAAACCAAAAAGAATTCAAGACAAAAAAAATTTAATTTTGATTTGAAGGAAAAAATGCCATTTTCAGGTGATCAGTTTTCACTTCCCACCCTATTAAAAAATAGTAATACTCAGTTTTATAACAACCATGTAGGTTCAAATAGAAGATAATTTCATGCGGATCATAATAAAATTTGATTCACTCTGATATCTTACGTAGTTTTTTGTGAATCGTGTCCATAGAATAGGTAAAAATGCACAAATTTAAAGCTGAGAAAAAGACGTTTAAAGTTTTTGATGCGCCCACGTTAACACTTGTATACTTTGCTTGCATACTTAATTTGAGGCACTTCAAGTTGGAATTCGATGATCAAACTTACACAGTATATTCTTTAAGCAATAAACTATTTTTTAAACAAAAAAAAAATTTTCAAAAAAAAAATTTTGGTTTACATGTATATCCCCCCTTAAGTTCAACAGCTCTGGCAGGGCAAAATAAAGTGAAACAAGGATGAAATTAAATGGAGTTAAATCAAAGATCGACTGGGACTATTTTAAAAGGGAATAAAATAGTGAATAGTTGGATAAAATATATGAATTATGTTGGATGAAATAATATAAAAATAATATTAATAATAAAGTGTGTTCTAAAAATTAATAATTTCTAATAGGATTTGTATATGTATTTGTAAATGTTATTTTTTCCAGAAAATGTTAAAATTTATCATTATTTTTATACTCTTGCAGGGTATTATAATTTTAGGAAAAAGCTTGCAAAGTAGTGAAGGAGCCATTTTCGACCCCATAAACCTTATATATTTTCGATCAGCATTAACAGACGAGTCTTTCTAGACATGTTGGAAAAAATATGTAAAATTATAATTTTTCCAAAATTTTATAAGGGGTTACATCGTTAAAATTGTCAAAAATTAACAAAAAATTTATTTCTTAAAATACTAAAATCCAGTATGCAGATTTATTAGCACATTAAAAACTAATAAAGAAAAGTTTTCCGTATTGAATTTGATTATTCTTTGGCAGAGTTATGAATGATTTTTGATTAGATGCCATAATCCTATAACAAACTGCAAGGGTATACAAATTTCGACTTCCCGAAGTTAGTTTCCATTCTTGTTTGTTATGTATTTTGATAAATTTTTAATAGTCTAAACATAAGAGCTAAGATAAAACAGTATAAACCCCTAAAAGCTTTTTGGTCTATGGCAACTGCTAGGTGTTCCAAATGCTTTTAACACATTTGCTTGTAAATTTATTAAGATTTAATAGGAAATACATTTGTTTATAAATTATTTAAAGTTTAAGTGATCATCTCATTTCTTTTAAAACTTTATTAGACTTGACAAACTCCCAAAAACTGTTGTAATGTAACGATAAATATTACTTCAAGTGAACTCTGATTAATAAGGCATTGGACAATTTTGAACCCTATCGGACAATATTAAATATGACGCGGCAAGTTAATAAATTGCGCTCCTTACTGTTGAAAAGTGAACGGCGGAATCCCAGCAGACACAGTCGAAAGGACAGGAAATGGGCGCAAGGATAACTGCGTACAACGCTGCGTATGAGCAATGCGTAGATGTGTGTGTGTGCTTGCCTTTATTTCATTTATGCATTTTATTTATTTTTCTTTTTATTTTTGTTGAGTGGCATGCATGGGTGCAAGGATGTTCCGAAACGAACCGCGGGAGGTTCCATACTTCGAGGAAGTATGGAATGACGACGGTGGGAGGTACGAACTGAATCGTACATTTATTGCAACATGAAACATTATTTTGCATGGCCTCAAAAAAAAAAAAGGAGAGAAGAAAAACAGAAAATAACGAAGGAAGGCAAGAAAAGGAAGCGGGAGGAAAAAGGAAGTATGGGAAAAATAAGGAAAATGGGGGTGAGGTTGTGACGAAGAAACCGGAGCGCGCGCGTTGGAAAATTGCAGTAAGGAAATGCGATGTCCTCGTTGCAGTTGGAATTTCCATGCAAAGTGGCAAGCAAATAAATATAAAAAATGCTTTTCTTTTCTACATTAGTGCACCATTTAAGGAAGTCGGCCCCCATCGCCCCGCTGAGCAGTTCCTCCCGCCCCCTAGATATCACCCTGCGAGTTTGTCGTCTTTCATTTTCCGTTTTCCTCACAACTCCAGAACCCAAGCCCGAACCAGGAGGAGCCGGTGCAGGAGTAGCAGCAGAAAAAATAAAGGAAACGTGCCGTAAACTACAGCAGACAATCAAAATGCATTCATGTGCTCTTTACGTTATTTATAATCAAACCCCCAGCCAAGCTCTCGGCCCAACTCCCTTTCATTCGCCTCTCATTCAGCTCTAAATTCCATTCACTAGCGAATTGTAGCAAACAGTCAATGCGAATTACACCCACGCCGCCCACTTCAGAAATTTTTCCGTCTTGGGGAGTTGGCGGATTCCTTAGAGGATTGGTTGTGTGGTTCTGGTTCGTGGGGAATGCCGCCTCCCGGTGTGATGATAAGGTTTCCACCATAATGCGCAAGTTGCTCGAGGCCATACTGGAAATTTTTCTAGCTTATGCTAAGTCAATTGTACGAGGATAATAAGAAATAAAACATATCATTAGGGTTCTGGTAATAGCAGCTGATTCCAGGGCCACACAAAGCCCCTAAAGTGAAGGAGGAGCAGGCAAATAATTTCCTAGAAGCTCAGCTCTAAGAAGGAGTTTATTTATAGAAAAGTGATGGAACATTTTCCAATCTGTTATTAATAATATTAATTTAAATGCATATAAATAATCAAATTTTTTGTTTCTCGCAATTGTATGAGTTCAAAAAGAAAATAAGCTGCATGAAGCACTAAAAAAGCGGATTAAATAGTTTTCATTTAGCATCAAATATTATTTTATTCATTATACCCTTGCAGGGTATTATAATTTCAGTCAGAAGTTTGCAACGCAGTGAAGGAGACGTTTCCGACCCTATAAAGTATATATATTATTGATCAGCATCACCAGCCGAGTCGATCTAGCCATGTCCGTCTGTCCGTCCGTCTGTCCGTCTGTCCGTCCGTCTGTCCGTCTGTCCGTCTGTCCGTTTCTACGCAAACTAGTCCCTCAGTTTTAAAGCTATCTGAATGAAACTTTACATATAGTCTTCTATATACTCTCACTGCTATATATGTCGGAACGGGCCGGATCGGACGACTATATCATATAGCTGTTCGATAAATTTTTAGAAAAAAAATTATAACTTGGATGTTTTTTAACATTTTTGCACAATTTTTAAGACATGGCCATTATATATTACTTTTGAATTTTGGTAAAAATTTTATGAAAATCGGACCACTATATCTTATAGCTGCCATAGGAACGATAGGGAAGGTAATAGAAAAAATTATAACTTCGTTCTTTTTCAACGTATTTTCATCTACTTTGAGACATGAGCTTCTGGTATTATTTCAAAATTTTGGTATAAATTTAATGAAAATCGGACGACTATATCTTATAGCTGCCATAGGAACGATAGGGAAAGCGATAGAAAAAATTATAACTTCTTTGTTTTTCAACGTATTTTCATCTACTTTGAGACATGAGCTTTTAGTATTATTTCAGAATTTTGGTAACAATATTATGAAAATCGGAGAACTATATAATATAGCTGCCATATAAGTGATCCGTAGATGTAGAGATAATGTAAAGCTGGGAATGTATAACTGTAACTGTCAAACTGTAAACATATTAAGTATAGGTAAAATGTTATGAAACTCCGTTTAGTGTCTGTTTTCGGCATTATAATTTATAATATAAATATGAAAACCAATCTGCAAGGGTATACAAACTTCGGCGTGCCGAAGTTAGCTTCCTTTCTTGTTTTTTCTTATCCTACAACCAGCAAGCCATCAAATATATAATTTATATTATTTAAGCACACACTTGTTTTTAATTTTTTAATATTTATAAATATTCTATCAATATTGCTATTGGTTTATTTCCAAATAACTCAAAATAAGATCCTCATCTGGCACAAATTAAATAAATTGCCGCTGGCAGAATGCGACTCATATGGCGAAATAAAGCCAAAATTAGAAATACAAAAGGAAGCGAGTGGCGAAAAAAAAAAAGAAAATAAAATTTAAACAAGGATGTGCACTGTGTGCTTTCATTTTCTCTTTTCTCCTGGCGTCCTGTGTTTGGCCGTAAACAAGCGAAACCGAACAGAAACAGAATATTTCTATGGAATTTTTCGAGGACCGGAAAAGCAGCAGCAGCAACAATAAACCGCACCAGCACACACACACACATACACACAATGACAACCGGCTAACATTAGGGCCCAAAGGCATGCGAAATGTCATGCGAATGAATTGAAATTATTTTACAACATTTTCATGTTTCTTGCCATTTGTTTGATTTGTCTCGACCTACGCTCTCCCTTTCAGGGCTTCCTTTTATTGTTTTCTTTTTTATTTTCCTCTCCTTTTTTTGTATGCATAATTTATGCTTGAGTTAGGCCAATTGCAGGCGTAAGAACCAAATGAAGCCCAAATTTTGACCCGAAATAAATCGAATTATGTTACGAAATGCCACAAGTAATCAGAGAAGGAATGGCCTTTTAACAGATGTCCAAATAATGGGCAGAAGAGTTTGAAATTAAAAAGAAGTAGTTAATTGAATGAGGTTTAATTTAATTTATTTTAATTTCTAAATATTTCTCAAGAAATATAGTACCAACACAACATGATTTACAGCATAGTTTTTCCAAAATTCTCTTACTTTATGTAAAAGAAAATTCTTGCTGCCTATCTTCTTCATTCCATGACACTCATTCTGAGCTTAGTTTTCCAAATCCGGACATTTAAAGTGTTTGCAACCACAATTCGAAGCATTTTATGAGAGATTCCAGCTGGAAGCCGCAAAATTTCAACTAGACAAAGTGCCAGAGACCGACTTGACCGACAGCCCCATAAACACTTTGTCCTGGTTGAAACAAAAAACGAGCCGAAGAAAAGGTAACTGGCATTTATAATAGCCACAACAAAAGCTGCAAGAGAAATGTGAGCCGGAGTTTGGGTTCAATTTGGGTTTACGGATTGCTCCAGGGGCGGGACTGCTGGGCGGATAAAGTTCAAAGCAAATTGTAGCGGAAGGCAGGAATCAACATTATCATCAGCAGCCAGGATGCTGCTCAGTCGGTTATAGGATACCTCACCCAAACACCCATACCCATTCCCATTCTCATACTCATACTCATTTCGGGACGAATGCAGATGAGGACGAGACAAAACACAGACCCACACATGCACAAGAGGGGTGGCAGGGTTGTCAAAATGTGTGTCTCTGTCAGTGTCTGTGTGTTTTAGGAGATGGAGAGGTGCCGAGGACACTAGGGGGTAGGGAGGGAGTCCGGGTGTTGTGTCGCCTGCCGCATATTAATGAGGCGAATGCCACACAGCCAAAGCTAAACGCGCCCTCATCAATTGCTCAATATTATGACTCTGGCGAGCAAAAATCTGCATATGAAACACATATTCGTAGACTGAACTTTACCAGAAACCAGACCAACTAGTTTGCATTCTTCGCTGCACACATTTCATTTATTTATCTACTTTTTTTTTATACAAACTGTGTATTTAAGGATACGCTTTAAGGGAACATGAAAACATCTTAAAATATTTTTGGGTTTTTTTGTATTTTTGTCTTTACTAAAAGGTAAATCTCTTATAATAATAAATATTCAAAAAAAAAAAGGAAATAAAATTATATGCATCCCCTTTAAATCTTGACCTTTAAAATAAAATTAGTTTTTACATCTATATAAAAACTAAACAAAAATTGGAATGTATAACAAATTTCTCTGGTTTTCTAATGTTTAAAATTTGCTTCTTTATTTTAAACACATATTTTATTTAAAGTATTTGCACTACATAATTTAATATTAATGAGCACACCAAATTCTTACCAAAACTGGACAAACTGTTTAACATTCTTTAAGCCACACACACACACACCTTCTCTTTCTTTTTGGTTTATTTTATTTATTTTCAGGTTTAAACACTCAGCTTAAGCTTGAAACGCAGACTTTTTTTTAGCACTTCACTCTCTAGGTTCACATAATTAGTATCGAATATTATTTCGATTTGGCTTTCGCTTCCTTCGGCAATACGTAATATATATAACGTAACGTATACGCCGCGGTGTACGCGGGCGTGGATGTGCGAAGTGCCAGAAGCGAAGGAGACGCGCAGCGCAGCGCAAGTGGAACGCAACACGTGTGAGGCGACAGGTGCCGAGCGTTTGGCACACAACTCGACCGGCCGACGCACGAATTCGAACTGAAAACTGAGCCAGGATCCCCAAGCGAAACTGGGAAGCGAGTGAGGCAGGCACGAGGGCCGAGCAAGGACGAAGGACTCTGACACGAGGCGCCCAGAGAGCAAGGCCAGCGAAGAGCACAGCCAGCCGAGGTTGCTGCATTAGGTAAGAGCACTTGTTATTCGTTTTTATTCAATTTAATTACCATATTCTTTGGATTAAGATATAAAGACTTTGCTTCTAAGATCCTGGCTATAGTTTAGAGTTAAACTATAAATCTTAGTAAAGTTTTTCATTCACAAAACATGTATAAATTAGAAAAGAGAATCTTTTTAGCCGAGCCTTTTGCTCTTTTACTCAAAATCAGCTTAGTGAAAATACTGGGAAATTCACTCTCTGTGAAACAGCTGTTTGGCACGTTATGGGTGCTCGGGGGTTGAGTCCTTTAACATTGCAGGAGGTCAGGCATGGCGTGAAAGTCGCTTATTCTAGCTGCTGTTTCCTCCTCCTTCTCTTTTTCCCCCGTCGACGGCTTTCGAGGGGTACCTGATGCTGATGGACACGAAAAAATTCATTGACCGCTCCAAGTAAAGCAGGTCGCGAGTAATTAGTAAGAAAAAAATATACACATTTTATTATTTCATTTAGGGTAAAGTTAATAGTATTTATGAGTAACAAAATATACTTTAAAAGAGGGGTAAAATATATTAAAAATAATGTTGTTTTATATATAATTTGTTACAATTTCTAAAATTAAAAATATTGCATTTTCATCGAACTTAAATTATGTAAGCCTTTTTTTTTAACTAATAAAAACCAACACAGAACAGCTTTCCAGCTTTGTATAGAAAATTTAAACTCGGACCCTGATATAATTGTAACCTGCAAGAGTATAGAGACTTAGGAATATATTTTTAGTTATATCTATTTCTAAAGCAAATTTGTTATAATTTGTTTAATATTAAGTACATAATTAATATTTATATAAGCCATAGAAGAATGACCCCTTAAAACTGGATAATAAGATACAGAAATCAAACCCATTTTAAATAAAAAACCGTCAAAAGCAAAGCTAAAGCAGTGCAAAGTTGTCCCCAAAGCTATAGCGTATCTTTGAATCCGTCAGTTCGGTATTATCATCAGCTAAAAGCTCTCAGAAAAGCTTAACTTTGGACAGGGCTTTGCTTGCTCTCTGGCTCTCCATTTTGGGGTCTGGGAACACGTAGCGCCTGGCTCAGTCGGTTGCCCAACACCGGCGGCGACGACCTCTAAACAACCTTTTGGGGTCTCGTCGCCGTGTCTCGCTTATTTCGCTTTGGAACCGCAGCCGCCGTCGACGGGAGCAGAGGCAGCGGCAGAGGCGGCAGCAACTCGGGCCGAAAATAAAAGCGTTTACCGCTCTCCTCCAGTGCAGCAGCAGCAGCGGTCGCAGCCAGTAGTAGCAGCTAATCACCTCCCAGATTCAGTTTCCAGTTCGGTGAGTGAGTGGGCGTGATAAAGTGATAAAAACAAGCAAAGAAAAGGCAAGAGAAACTCCATAGAAAAACCCGCTGGGATATTCAACTAAACCACAAGAAAAAACCCATCAAGTGCCTTAGAAAATTCGCGTAATCGGTCCCAATTTTCTGGGTTGTTTCGTAACGGAAATTTACAGAAAAAAACACTGACAATCTGTAAGCGTGAGAGTGTTGCGTGTGTATGCGTGGGGACTTTCTATTCTCTTATTTTTCTCCCGAACTTTTCTCAGTGTGTCTCAGTATTTATGATGGGTTCTAGAACTTTAAACGAGTGTTATTGACCTATGCACTACGAGGAGGGGAAAACTGCAGGCGATAAGGAAACCTTATCGGGTATCAAAGTCTCTCAAAAGTAGTTTTCCCTACCGGCTCAACCGGCTCTCTTGCCGCCACGCCTTCCCTGCCGTCCCGCCTTCACCACAGATTGAGTTCACTTGGCGGCTGTTGGCAAAGTTTCAACTGCAATTTGTAGTTGCCGCTGCGGTTTTTCTTTATAAATAGTTGCCGCAAATGTTAGATCTACATATATATGCGCCTATATAAATGTATCTTTGCCGAGTTGCTTTTAACACTTTCGTTTAGATTTCAATTAGCTGAATTAATCGCTGATTTTTTCGGTTTGTTGATGTCTTCTCGTGTTATTGCACTTTACTCTTTACTCGGTGCTCTTTTCAATTACCTTTTGGTCAATGAATGAGAGAAGTAGTGGAAGTAACAATACTTGCACACGGAGAACAAGAGGGAATTGTGATAAGAGGGAGACTAGTCTTAAGGGTGGTTTTGCGTTGTGTAGAGAAACAAGTTTTTGGAGGGGCAAGGACTTCTTTTGAAGGTCAACAGGAATTGCCAGCTCAGATTGAAAGTTAAAGATAATTAAGATATTTTATTAAAAATTATCAGATGCCTGAAAAATTTATTTTATTTTAAAATTATTTTACAGAGAAATAAAAAGAAGTTTTAGTAGTATTAATTAACATATTGATTGAAAGATATCGTACCAAAACCCAAAGAAATTTCGAGATTCTTAAAGAAGTAAACACTTTTAGCATTCCTTTTTGGCTTAATATATGTTTGACCTAGAAATCTAAGGTAACATTATGTATCCTTATTATACAAATATTTTATTGTTCCTATCAATATTTATTCCAATAATAATGCGCAATAACGACATAGAACCTATCGTTTTAGGATTAGTCAGCAAAGTTATTGGGGTCACTCAAGAAGGGCATACAGATAGAAATGGAGGCATACGTGCTCGCTTCCAAATTCCACTCCTCCAGCAGCTGTTTTTATAGTATTCGAATACCTCTCGTGTTTACCATCAAAAAGCACTTGACGTCAGTTGGCAGTTATTACATCAGTAGCCGTGGGACTTATCTCCCTCGGGAGATGTTCTTTTGACCCACTGTCTGTATTTTTTCGAGGAGGCCGGACCTAAAAAATCTTGTTATGATAATGCTAAGCCAGGCAACCTTTGGAACCAACACCCCACGGGGGCTCGTTTTTTTGTGCCGCTTTCTGATTCGAAATTTCCACTGATAGCAGATACAAAATGCGGTCGTCTCATGCCCAACTTGTTTTTTCATCTTTCCGGAGCAACTTCTACCAAATATATTGTTTCTATGTTCTCGTTTTATCAGCTTGTTTTTTTCTATACAGCAAGAAAAAAGAGCACACACACACTGTGACTGAGAGACATGTGTCGGTTTTATTTTTATACATGCTCCTTGATAGCAAAGTAAATATATTTTGATTGTTTTTTGTTGTCATGCGTTGCCTGTTATGCTTTTCGGGTTTTTTATTCTCTAGTTCTTTCCCCCTTTTCCTCATTCTTTCTCTATTTTATTTTTTTGTATTCGTGGTATATATTACGCTTGTTTTTTGGAAACGCCTCAGTCTTCGATTGATTGCCGGCAAGTGTAGGTGTGTGTCCCGCTGCAAGTGACTCAGAATTAGATATAGATAACTCATCCCAAAGATACAGAAGAGTGTATATGTATGACTTGGTCAAGTGATTTAGTGTTATATAGAAAAGAAGATGTGTTTTATGGGAAAAAGTGTGACAAAAATTTCTAAAATATATTTTTATAAATATAGGAACTTGAATAGTTGATTAAAATTTTACTTTTAATCGATTTATTAATTCAAAAAATGTGTTAATATAATATAATAACATATATTTCTGTAAATATTTCTTCAGTTAAACTAGGAAAGCTATATTTAAATTCCTCCCCCCCATTTATATCACCATAAAATAGAAATGGGGCAATCGTTCTCATGCGATAAGTTCAGGTGGTCTAATCTATAGACTGACATTTATTATTTTCCAGTCCTTGGCTGGCTCACTGTCAATGTCAAACAAGTCAAGTCTGAATTTTTAGCTGCGAATATTATTTCGTATCTGTATCTACATATTGCTGGATAGGTCTTCGATCTCTCTCGCACAGTATCTGGCTATCTTATTCGCTCCTCACACGCGCCACACGACCGGCGGTGTGTGTTTGTTGTTTCGACAATTCCTATCCGCATTTCGTAAGCAACACATTTCGCTTGCAACATTGTTGCCAAGCGAAGGCACATTGTTGCCTGACCTTGTTCAATGTCAAGCTAAAATTCATGCGCCCTGCGCCGGCTTCTCTGCCGGGCGGAGGCAGAGCAGCACTGAAAGTGAAAGTTTCTACGTCACGCTTTTTGTGCGGGCGAGTGAAAGAGAGAGCAGGCAGTGGGAGAGCGAGAGGGAAGGCTCCATGACTTTGATTACATCAGAGGAAATCATTATTCGCCAGCCTTTTCCGTGACTTTGCTCAGTTACTGAACATTCATCGTCGAGGTTGGTTGGCCTTTCCCAAGTGCTCCAGAAGTTAATTGATAAATCAGTTTTTTTTTTTTATTTTTATTGCAAGGAGATTAAATAAATTAAAAAATAAAAATTAAGAGTGCCCGAAAAAGAACATAACTAAGTGATATTTGAAGAAATTCCATTTACAATTCCGCCGTATGGAACATTTTATTTTTCTCTGTTAATTGAGGGGAAAACTTGATAAAAAGTGTACTATAATTTGTATGTACTCTAAAAATGAGAGGAAAAGGCAGTGAGAGTGAGAAAGAGAGGCAGATTTATAGATAGATAGAGAGAGAGCGAAATAAAAGGCACGTTTTCAGTGCATGCGCATTTGAATTTTTTCAATTACTGAAATCAGCTGTGAAGAACACTACCAAACAAAGATTATGTATATATTTTTCAATGGAAAAATAATTTACCAAATTTAAGAAGTCTTGAGTGACATTGATATGACTCTGAAAAGATGATGAAATCATAAACTTATAATAAAAGTTATAAGTTAAATTTATTTAGAACTTGATATATAAGATAAAGGTTTTCCCATATTTCTTTTTATACCATCAATCAAAATCGTTATCTTATTAGAATTTCTTCGAACCGAAAATAGCTTTGGTCGATTTGTCAGTCTTTTTAGATATTTAACAGAATATATACATAAATTTATACTGCTTTTTTAGGCGTAACATTCGACAGCTTCAAAATTCTCCGTTTAAACCATGGCGCACTTTTTCGCAATACGGTTTCGTGTTCCATAGCCAAAATACTAACTAGCCACCTCTCCCATTCTTATTCTTTCACCACAAATGGACTACCTGCTTTCCAACACCATCTCTTGCTGGGAATCGAACGAAATACTCTGGGAAAATGGATCGGCGTGCTGCAGAACTACACTCGAATCTCAAAAATGACCACCTACTTCAACTACCCCAGCAAGGAGCTGCAGGATGAGCTGAGGACCATCGCCCAGAAGATCGTGGCTCCCGGCAAGGGAATCCTCGCCGCCGACGAGTCCGTGTCCACCATGGGCAAGCGCCTGCAGGACATCGGCGTGGAGAACACCGATGACAACCGCCGCGCCTACCGTCAGCTGCTGTTCAGCACCGACCCCAAACTGGCCGAGAACATCTCCGGTGTGATCCTGTTCCACGAGACCCTCTACCAGAAGGCCGATGACGGTACTCCCTTCGTCGACATCCTGAAGAAGAAGGGCATCATCCCCGGCATCAAGGTCGATAAGGGTGTTGTGCCACTGTTCGGCTCCGAGGATGAGGTCACCACCCAGGGTCTGGATGATCTGGCCGCCCGCTGCGCCCAGTACAAGAAGGACGGTTGCGACTTCGCCAAGTGGCGTTGTGTGCTGAAGATCGGCAAGAACACCCCCTCTTACCAGTCCATCCTGGAGAACGCCAATGTCCTGGCCCGCTACGCCTCCATCTGCCAGTCGCAGCGCATCGTCCCCATTGTGGAGCCCGAGGTTCTGCCCGATGGCGATCACGATCTGGACCGCGCCCAGAAGGTCACCGAGACCGTCCTGGCCGCCGTCTACAAGGCCCTGAGCGACCACCACGTCTACCTGGAGGGTACTCTGCTGAAGCCCAACATGGTCACCGCTGGACAGTCGGCCAAGAAGAACACCCCCGAGGAGATCGCCCTGGCCACCGTGCAGGCTCTGCGCCGCACCGTGCCCGCCGCTGTTACTGGTGAGTCCTGATCGGGATTAGATTAGAGTTAAGGATGTCACAGATTTAGATTTCTGATACACCTTTTCCGGCGCATCTTCCATAGAACCAATCTAATCTAATTCTGCTTACAGGCGTGACCTTCCTGTCTGGTGGACAGTCCGAGGAGGAGGCCACCGTCAACCTGAGCGCCATCAACAACGTTCCCCTGGGCCGCCCATGGGCCCTTACCTTCTCCTACGGCCGTGCCCTGCAGGCTTCCGTCCTGCGTGCCTGGGGTGGCAAGAAGGAGAACATTGCTGCCGGCCAGAACGAGCTGCTTAAGCGCGCTAAGGTAAGTCTTCGGTTAAATACTTAAGTTTATGTATATAGGATCGGGTGTAGACTAAGTGGTGTCGGCACATGGAGTGCCGGAAATGCTGGGTTATTGCTTTGAACGAATTTTTTTTTAATGGTTTAATCGGTCTAAGGAATTATTACGCCTTTATAAACCGCTGATCCACGTTCCCACTCCCAAAATATAATCCCAATATCTAACCATTCCCATATTCCCCCACTCAATAGCACTTATCAATACCATTATCGATGCTTAATCTATTCGAAATATTTTGCTCTTGAACTTTAATATATGTGTTCCTTATCTCGAGCTTCATTTAAGAATATTAGTTTCAGAACTAAACAATTAAAAATAGTTTTCTTTTAACCATTATATTCATTTTATTAATTTATCATTGACTAAACCTAATTTATTAATTGGTTACTTTGTTCATCACCATTCAACGTCATATTTTAAAATTTTATTTACTAAAAATTTCCCACACTATCCACACTTTCATAATTTTAAAACCCCAACTCATATATCCTCATGCCCTAGGCTAATGGTTTGGCTACTTGTGGGCTTTACGAAGCTGGTTCTGTTGAAAGTGCTGCCGGAAAAGATACCTTGCATATCGATGATCATACCTACTGAAAAATCCTGCCATATTCTCTTCTCTCTGGCAAAGAATTAACTTTGATGTGGTAACTAATTAACATTAATTAACAAGTAGCTGCCTTTGCCAAGCTGAAATCACTCATAACATGCCTTCATTACATAATGCTTCGCTTTTTTGTAATTGGAAAAACAAAAAAAAACACTAAACCTAATTAATCCCAACCAAAATCCCCATCCTTCCCGCTCCCACAGGCTAATGCCCTGGCCTGCCAGGGTCAATATGTGGCCGGCTCGATTCCATCGTACGCCGCAAATGCCAGCCTCTTTGTCGCCCAGCACAAATACTAATACTGGCATGACATTGCCGCATTAATTATAGTGGGATGACACTGCCGCATTAATTAGAGACTTCATTAAAGATTTGACAGCGCTATAGCGTTTTACACAAGTGCGAGCAAGACGACTCTATGGCGCTCTAATGCATTAGAATAATGCATTAGCTACTTCATTGCCGCGGTAATCGATAGATCTACATATTATATACTAGATACTCGATAACAAAATACGGGTTTAATGAAGAAAATTGTAATTGAAAAATGTATTAGCCAGTTCATTGACAGTATGGTCTCACAATGAGAATTTTATTTTTATATCATTTCGCTTGTTTTTTGAACTGAAAATATATTAGAAAATTAGCAAAAATAATATGTTTTGCGGTAGCAAGGTTCTTGCGCTGTAAAATTAATTAAAATTATTTTTTTTGTAATAATTAAAAAAATTTTAAGCATTATAGGTTAAAAACATAAATTTAAAGGATTCTGCATTTATTTATGCAATAATACTTCGACAAGGAATTCAGAAATTCATAATAATACGCCGCGAAAGGCCGCCGTTTTTTTTGTTTACCTCTTACGGTCGGTGTGACCGTAGTCGTATTACCAAAATAATCCAAGCAAAATTCAAGCAAAATTACACAAAATTACACATATAGTTGACTCTTTCAAGGTTCTAATGAAGTAGCTAATTAATGAAAACTGCATTACTGTATCATATGGGCATTAGAGACTTCATTAAAGATTTGACCGCGCTATAGCGTTTTGCACAAGTGCGAGCAAGATGACTATATGGCGCTCTAATGCATTAGAATAATGCATTAGCTACTTCATTAGAGCGATAATCGATAGATCTACATATTATATACTAGATACTCGATAACAAAATACGGGTTTAATGAAGAAAATTGTAATTGAAAAATGTATTAGCCAGCTCATTGACAGTATGGTCTCACAATGAGATATTTATTTTTATATAATTTCGCTGGTTTTTTTAACTGAAAAAATATTAGAAAATTAGGAAAAATAATATGTTTTGCGGTGGCAAGGTTCTTGCGCTGTAAATTTAATTTAAAATTTTTCTTTGGTAATAATTAAAAAAATTTTAAGCATCATAGGTTAAAAACATAAATTTAAAGGATTCTGCATTTATTTATGCAAGAATACTTCGACGAGGAATTCAGAAATTCATAGTTATACGCCGCGAATGGCGGCAGTTTTTTTGTTTACCTTTTACGGACGATGTGACCGTAGTCGTATTAGCAAAATAATCCAAGCAAAATTCAAGCCAAGTTACACAAAATTACACATATAGTGGTCTCTTTCAAGGTTCTAATGAAGTAGCTAATTAATGAAAACTGCATTAGTGTATCATATGGGCATAAGCACTATGCCCCACGCACTAATCCCGAGTCAGAATCGAACCGATGCTATAACAGATCCTGACGACGATCCAGCTGAACTGAGAGACTGGCGGCACAGACACATTCCGCCAGCCAAGGAACCGCAAAAATATTCCTTAAAGCCTATCCTTTACTTTTTTACCGCTTAACTGACTAGTTTTTAGCTGAAAATCGCACACTTTTGGCAATTGAAAATGATAAACCAACAAACTTAATAAATTATATGTTACCTTTTTACCATATTTGCTAAATTGATTTTTATTTTTAAATGATTTATGATTTAAAATTATTTAAAAACGTTTTATTACTATTGAAATTATAGAGAAAGAGTAGATAATTTCAAAATCTTAGAATTAAGTGAGAAATTATTAATTTAATACACCTAATTTAATGTTCACATTTTAATTTATAAGAAAGTTATTTTCATTTATTTTAAGCAAGTTATTTTGACAAAGTCAGACAACATTTAAAAGTTTAATCATAAAAGCTGGAAGTCATTAGGTTAATGTAACTGACAGTTTAGCTGGAATTTCCCAGAAAAAAAAAGTAGAAAAATGACTTCTCCGAGCTACCAGTGAAATTTCATATAATCGAATCAACATTTTCCCCTCAGAGAAACTGCAAAATTAAATTTTCCAAAAGTTTTTTTTTTCGCTATCCGTACGATGTATTCGTGTGTAAAGTTTCCATGAAATTGCCGCAGGTGGCTGGGAAACTGGGAAAAGTTTTGTGTCCGTAGAGCAAAAATCAGAGCAAAAACTTTGATGCTGGCCGAAAACTTTTCTGCTGCGGCTTGCCAGGCAATAACTAAGTAATAATTAAGAACAAGTGTTTTGTAATTAAGAGGAGTATTTTCCTGGATTTTTCCCAAATGAAATTAATCACATTTCTACCTTTCACTTTCCTCTCGTTTATTTGTTTAGGCCAACGGTGATGCCTCTGTGGGCAAGTACGTTGCTGGCTCCGCCGGCGCTGGATCCGGATCCCTGTTCGTGGCCAACCACGCCTACTAATTTGGGGCGGAAGCGGCACTGTCTACACACAACTACATATAACTATCTACGAAGCCGATTGCTTGAAATGTTTGATTTTGGCAGTTTTGTTTATATTTATCTTAGTTTCGTGAGCTAAGCAAGCAAGCATAGAAAAAAAACCCCAAAAAAAAATGAAGGATTATAATTGAAGAAAACATGTTATTCTCTTCTAGTATATATTTGCAAAACGAATATACGCAAACAAAAAAATAACAACAATAATAAACAAACGCTACATGATTATATAAAGGATTACGTTCGATGAGAAGCAATTTTATCTTTAGTTTTAAGCACAAGAAACTATACTTGTTGAAGTTATGCAATTTCTATTTTATTATTATTACTATGATTATGTAAGATTTCAATGTGAACAAGCAAAAATATGTCGTAAATCGTTAAGTTAATCCCTCACATTTCATAGTGAAAAGAACAGCCGTCGCTATCAACAACACCGAAATGTAAAATGGCTTGCACCATTGAAATCACTCAAAGTTTTCTTACAATTTTTAATGTTTACACAAAAAGTTATCTATGATGAAAATCGATGTTTTATCATTAATATTATTATTACAATTTATATTTATGATTGATAAGTATAAGTGAAAGAATATGACGCAAAATAAACAAACACATACAATAGATCCCAAAAGAACCCCCAAACAACTCTTATACTTATATACAACAAACAAACATATTTACTTACTGACACACATTGTTGACGAACAAAATGTTGTTACTAAACACGAAAACGAACTTTTAGGACTGGAAAAGGACATCCAGTAGCTGGGGCTCAGTACTTGTTACTCGAGTTTCACGACTCTTTTTGCTGAGACCCCCATCAAGGCTCGGTAGACAGTAGCAGAGCAGTGCTGTCACAATACATATTTATGAACTTAAATATTGTATGAATGACTAACACACATATATTTATCAAAGCATGTTTTTATTTATATATGTTATTCAAGTTGCAATTTCTGCATATCGTTGTTAATTACAAAAAACCAGTTTGAAGTGCAATGTGAAAATAAAACACACAAAAAATATATTTAACAGTAACAGGCAAAATAATTAAGAACTATTTTATTCAGTAAATAAATATAATAAAAGTCACAACCTTTGACAGCAACAACAACCAGCTGTTCAACCATTATACAAGAAATAAAAAACAACAAAAAAGATAATAATAACAACATAAACTAAGGGTGTGAAACAACACCAATTCAATAAAAAAAAAACCTAAAGAGCAAAAAATATGGCACTTGGCTTTTATTTTGAGCGGAATGGGTGAGAATACCTTTGCATACATTCAGGCGTAAGTTACAGTTGGAAAAGCACTGTAAAGTGGGCTTGAGACTTTTTAGTTTGACAAGCATTACTTTTAGATACATCTTCATTTTATTATGTAGTTTCAATCATCGAAGAAATATGGTTTTAGTGTAATTATAGTAATATGGCACGCTTACCAAGCATATAAGCTTATGCCATGATTTCATAAACCTTTCTGAAATAATATCCCATACAGAATCTATAAAATTTAATTCCAAATCACAAGTTAAAGCCCTCGGTGTTTTAGGTCAATGACAGATTTGCTGGTCGACCCAATTGATATCCCACTTTCTGTCCATGTCGCGTAATTTCAATTTACAATTTCCTTCGCTGCAAAATGCAAATGTAAACACGGCGTGCAATGGGCAACGTAATCTGCACCGTGATCCCTTTCCCTTCCCAATCGAGTTTGTTTTATTCGCCGAGAGCAAAGTTCGTTTAATCGTATCCAAATCAAATGCGCCACATCCCAGACAGCCAGACTGGGCAATGAGATGACACTGGGTTTTCTGAATATTTGGAAATAAGAAAAGGGAATGCATCAAAGGAAATATGTATATATTTATTAAAGTATTTATTAATACATTATATAATTTTTAATTATTTGTTATTTTAGGAGTCTGTCAGATAAAACAAGAAAGAAAGCTAACTTTGGCCAGCCAAAGTTTGTATACCCTTGCAGGTAACAATTAAAATATATCATAACTAAGCCAAACATGCATTAATTTCGATTCGGAAAGCCGTTTTGTGTTAGTTTTTATTAATTTAAAAAAACTGCATACCAAATTTAAAATTTTAAGAAATCAAAATTTTTGGCCATTTTTGCTAATTTTAATGATGTAACCCCTTATCAAATTTCGCAAAAATGGCAAAAAAATCGATTTCCTCCGGACATGTCTAGAAAGATTCACCTGTTGATGCTGATCAAGAATATATATGGTTTATGGGGTCGAAAATGATTCCTTCACTTAGAAAAATATTATTTTGTATTATAAAATCGGATTTTTTATATTAAAAAACTTCTTGATTTTTTTTTAAATTTAAAAATATCATAACTCGGCCAAAAGAGCATTAATTTTAAATCGGAAAACTGTTCTGTGCAAGATTTTCTACAGTTATTAAATCTGCATACTTCATTTAAAAATTTTGAAAATTAAATTTTTTATCAAAATCAAAAATTTTAATGATGTAACCCCTTATAAAATTTTGCAAAAATGGCCAAAAAATCGATTTCTTCCTGACATGTCTAGAAAGATTCCCCTGTTGATGCTGATCAAGAATATATATACTTTATAGGGTCGGAAACGTCTCCTTCACTGCGTTGCAAACTTCTGACTGAAATTATAATACCCTGCAAGGGTATAAAAATACATACTTTTCCAGCTTTCCAAAGAGGAAGATCATTTTATGACATCTTTGCCCGCTAAAATCGTTTCAGAATATTTCTTTAAATATTCTCCCTACCTTATTTTTCTCTGTGTAGAATCAAAAATTCGATTACAGGCAATTTAATTGCCTTTGTTTTTGGAGGGAGGATGGAATGTTTTGATTTACAGCAGTGGGATGAACAAATTGTTTACACCGTCATTGCGTCATTGAAGGCAATAAGGAAATTCTCCCAATGGTTTTCAAAACAATATTCGCACAGTGGCTCTCAAATTGTTGCTAATGTGAGCCTCCAAGGGGCTAGCAGCCACAAAGGGGAAATGCTGGGTGGGAAACCTAACAAAGGGCGCCTGGCATTTGGCATCCTGATCCACACAGCCCGTGGCAGTGTCAACATTTCCTATGTCACTCGACCCCTCCACCAACCTCCTGGCACTAAGATTGTCCACAAAAGTGGAATTAATTGTATTTGCATAGCATGTAAACATCATCACGTTGCCGGCAGGATCTCGACCTGCAACGTTTCTAAACTAGGTACACCCTTCCGACAGCTATCACTGAGGAAAATAATATATTTATTTATAAATTATAGATATTTTCAGAGCTTAAAAGGGATAAGAGACTGCTTTTATTTCTTAAATATCAAATTCGAATTTGCTACTTTCCATCATAAAAACACTTGCCTTCATCACGTTCTTATCTGACCTGTAATTCATCTTCGTTTCTCAGTGCATTACACATTCATTGTATCCTTCGGCTTCCTGCGGTGCAATTGTGATTTCGCCCTGTCCTGGCACGTTGCTGATTACGCTCAAAGGAGAAGGACCGAGTCCTCAGAATGGAGCTCCGAGAACTGAGACGAGAATGGCGATGACATAAATATCAACGGCACGTCATGTGGCGCAATGGAGGAAGTGGCAGCGTCAGAGGTAGTGGAGACCCAAGTTGCTGCGAAACGTTGTGCCATCAACGTGTTCGGGCGGAAATTGACACGCCGTGAGCCGAGATGCACAGAGTTGGGTCCGGAAAGGTGGCAGGCAGGCAGAATCCAAGAGTCCCCACTGCAGTTGATTGAGCTTTGCATAATTTAAGCCACGCTCCATTAATAACATGGCCAGCCTGAAAACCAAAAGCCAAATCGATTGACAACCATTTCGCTCACGTCCCGAGACTTCCTTGCCAACTGTAATTGCAGATTGCTTTCCCCAACTGTGTGTGCGTGTGTATGCCAGCCAGCAGTTTCTAATTAGCTGCAAACATCACTCGGGGGCCCAATAACAAATCCAAATGCGTGATACCAACGCCAACGCAGCAAAAATAGCTCTAACCGAGCTGGGTGTCCATTGGTCCTTGGTCGTCAAAGGAATCCTCGAAGGGAAGCCGGGACACCCGGTGGCTACTCCCAAATGCAATAGATTGTGTCGCACTGTGGAGCAGGATATTTTTTTATCTATGGGTTTAAGAAAAACAAGGAGGGCTTAACAGCTTAAAGGGTAACTAAAAATGTAACATATTCTTTAAAAATAAAATATAAACTGAGGCTGGGTTAAATTTTATCTTTGTTTATTACTTTATTAAATGTAAATCTATCTCAACATCTTATAAGATAATAATTCACCTTTAGTAGATGAGAATTTATCCCATTTTCTATAGCCTAAGCCCACTGAAAAGTACACCTGGTTGGTCAGTGCAAAGTCCTGTCATTGCTCGGTGCCTCTTTTTTCGCCCAGCTCATCGTGTGCATTTTAGGCCATGTGCGTTGTCGTCGTCACCGTCGCCATGGCGGCCAATGTGAAGGTCGATCGATCCGTTTGCGCCTCCCTGCCACCCTTCCTTTGTCCATCTCCCAGCCTAGTGTTTCCGCTTCCATACTCGCTCCCTACCCCTCAGCGCTCCAGCAACTCTTCTTGGCAATTTATGTTCATTGAGTTGATGTTGATTTGTGCGCCGCGGCATGATTTTTTAATGGAATGTAATTTATATATGTGGGGGACGGGGCTGGGGCGAATTGCTGGCCGGCAGACGGGCGTGCACTCGATTGCATTTTGGCCGAATGCACTGGCCGTGTGCCAAATGAAACGGCAAAAACGACACAAATTGCTTGGCCACTGTTGCCTCGACCCATCCCCCAATTTGGGCCCACTCGATGTCTGCCGGTTGGGAAGTATTTCAAACTCGAATGGCATGTCAGAGTGCAGGGAAGTGTATTTGTAGCCAACACATGTGCAGTTCGAATGAACAATGGTTGGGTTTTAAAAAGTAAAGTTTATTAAAAATTAAAAACAGGAAAGGAAGCTAAGACGCAGCTACATTGTTTGCTTTGTTGAATTACTAACTCTTTTATAAGTAAAGTAAAATATATTCCCAACTTTTCAATTCCGTCAATATTTGGCTACAGCTTATCGAACTTTTTGCGCTCAAACAAAATCAATAACTCAAACAATTGAGGATGTAACAAGTAACTATAAATTTCCAAGCTATATTGACACAGTTGCTTTTTCACTTTAAATTGTTACACAATTGAGCTGCAAGTAAACTATTGCCTTTGGAATTTTAAACTGCACGCAGGAGCAAAAATAACCGACAGGAAATTGATTTTGACAAAAACTCCCATGCAATTTAGCATGAATAATTTAACAGAATCGAAACTCTTAATTAATGACAACATTTTTCTGTGCACTTTTTAAGGAGTTGAACACGGTACGACAAAATGAGGCAATCACGATAATTTTGACAATTCCATTTATCTTACTCGCACGCTTTCGGTGCCATAATCGACAGAACAAATAAATTGCCAAAAAAATGTTGGGGTTCTTGAGCCTGCACAGGGGAAAAATGTGTAAATATCAGATGAGCTTTCAAGAAGAAATTCGTTTTTTTGTATACAAAAATTACAAAGATTACTTTATAATTTTTACCTGTGTTCTGATTCAAAATGTA